TATTGTAATTCACATTTCTACTTGAGAATTTTAATAACCAGAATATATCATTGATTAACCACCTTGCTTTTAGTAGTTAATGCAATTTGCAAACTAGAAATCACTAATGTAAGTAAAGAAGCAAGGTACATGTGTAAAAACATAATGACTGTAAAGAAAAGATTAATTTTTTATTTCCCTTCTAAGTCATGGACATAGGCAGGAGGCAATCAAAGTAAATTAAAAAGCTTTACTCCTACCCTACATTACAAAGTTTTTGCTAATTATTTAGAAGAGATCAACTTCACGTTCATGAATCAAACCTTAATTTTAAAATATTAGCAATTTGCTCGATCTGCTAGACCAAAACAAGATTCTAAAGATGGAAAAAGAAAGTATTAAAAATTAATAAAGGTAAGTGTGGATAAAACACAATAAAAAGACAAGACTATTTCTTGAGATAAAATTAAAGAAGAATAAAATGCTGATAGAGTAGTAATTCAGATATCTCTTAAGATTTTTTAAGGAAATATCTATGTAGTTCATTTCCATTAAACTTCAAAATTATAACTACAGAGTAAAGCCCATTTATATGTAAAAATTAAGTTTGGAGAATGAGTAAAGCAGTGGTTCTTAAACTTTTAACATATAGTACAATCACTTGGAGAGCTGATAAAACAAATTTCTAGACTCCTCCCTTCCCTGCAATAATTTCTGATTCAGTAGATCTGAGGTGAGGGCCTAGGGTGACCAACAGTTCCATTTTTCCCCTGACTGAGGGGTTTCCCAAGATGCTGGACTTCCAGTGCTGAAATGGGAAACTTGCCAGCCAGGACAAGGTGGTCATCCTTGGTGACACTTGAGAATTTGCATAATTAATGACTTCCCAGATAATGGTAAGGCATCCGGTCTAGGGACCACACTTTGAAAACTCCTGAGGTAAACATTTAAAGCTAAATTTTTTAACTTAAAATTCTACAGTGCTCAATATATAAAATTAATTACTAACTTCATGAAAATGTTGGTGGAGTTAAATCTTTTGTCTTTGAAACAAGTAATTTTAATACTTACATAGTTTAATGATTAAAAATATTTAAAGTTTGTGTTACTTTAAGAAATGAGTGGAAATACATTCTGTTTTTTACTTTAAATATCTTTCTCCTTTTGTAAACTGGAAGAACATGAAGTAAATTGGTCAGAATTACTGGTGTTTAGCTGAAAAAAAATGATATGATTAAATAAGAGAAAATTTTGCTTAATGTTTAGTCCCTCTGTGAGGTGCTTGAATATTTGAATTTTGTTATATTTATACTTGAGTAGTCAGAAGTCTTATAAATACCTTAGAGGAAAAATTAAATAATTTCAGTTTGTATTTTAAAACATCATTTATTTATAAATCTAATGCTGAAAAATACTAAAAAATTTAAACTGCATTCTGCTGTTCTTCTTTAGAAGCATTCCTGCGTAAATACTGCTGTAATACTGTCATGCAAAGTGTATCCTTTCTTGTCGTATCCTTTTTGGGGCAGCGTTTTTTGTTTTTTGTTTTTTTTCCTAGAAATATTTGTCCCTGTCCCACCTATTGATCCAGATTAAGCTATACTTTTTTATACTTTATTCAGATGAAATATTTCTAAAATTATTTGTGTAGATTGAACAAATCTTTTATGTTTTTTAGGTTTGTTGTTGAATTTTTTTTACTGTCCTTTAGGTTATACAATCTCTCCAGAGAAAGTTAGTGAATCAGGTCAACTTACTTGAAGAATGTATGCATTTGCTTTAACTCAGAATGTGGTCTTGTTTCTTCTATTTGTGTATTTCTTAAACCTAATTTAGTAACATAGGCTTTCTGTTTTATGGTATATCTGGTTTAGGTGTTCTGTATAATGTGTTGTTAAATTTGACTGGGAAAAGGAACTTTTTCTTTTAAAAAGTCCATATAGTGAAAATTAAAATAGCTGGATTTTTATGTAAATTCTAAATAAAAATAACAGACCTCATATCTGAGGTCTTATTAGTGAAATCTCTTTTGGCATAGGTAGCAAGTAGAAGTATCTTTGTTCTTTCCTTTTCTTTTTCTAAACAAATAAACAAAAAAGAATAAGAAAAGAATAACAGAGGGAAGAAAATATAAGTTGACTCAGGGTAGCACATTAAGTGAAAAGAAAAACAATCCTGGCAGATCATAAGAACAGTGGTCTCCAGACTGGTGGATGACCAGAATGACCCAGAACAGTGGTTCTCAATCTTGGCTGCACATTGGAATAATCTGGAAACTTTT